TTTTTTTAATCTATTTACAACACTTTGAGTGACACACATTGATACTCAGTCATTGAGTATTGATTCAAGGACTGCAAAAACGAAGTAAGTAGTGCAGCGCATTTCGTTGGGGAAATCAACAAGTCAACAAAAAAAAGTAATTTTCTATAATTACTACGCTATCTCTGACATGAAGCAATTATTGCCTATAACCAACGGACAAAAAGAAAAATTGGTGGAAATAACTGCTGACAGCATTTTCGTTTAAAATCGTGCTCAAACTTGCATAATATTTACAAAGGTTAACTTTTAATTTAAAAAAAAAATCATGTAACAACAATGTAAACTCGCTTATTACTTTGTATGATTCAATTAATACCAGCTTGCTGAATGTAATATTTATATTACTTATTTAATAAATTTTAAAGCTAATTATTAGTCATCCACAATTGAAGCTTTGTAAGCTAGACTCATAATAATAAAAGCTCATTTAAAGTATTTTATTTTCACTTAGGAATATGCGTTTAATGGTCTCGACGCAAAAATGGCTCAATTCTAAGCGGTATTGTTTTAAAACACCACTCATTTGCACCCCGAATCCCAGACAACATTTTTTTTTCGCACAACAGTTGGGCAAATTATCTCGTAAAATTTCGATTCCATTTCATTCAATTGCACACCTAAAGTAAACTTAACCAAAATTGGCCATGAGTCATTTACACGAGATTGCAAACCGAAATCAAAAATTCACATATAAATTTGATTCGCAAATTGCTTTTTTGTCTCCAAAGTGCAATTTTGCCGTCTCGTATGTTAATTAAATAAACTCAGCTCGGCTCGGCTCGGCTCGGCTCAGAATGTTTTATTAATTCACATCTGTGTTTATTGTTTCCATTTAAGAGTTTTCGAGCTGATCTGAAGCCAACACAAATTTGTTGCAATTGGAAAAATATTTCCATATATTTACATACATATGTACATATGTATGTACTTGCAGCTCGTTTATAATAAAGCAATTCAACAATCAACTAAAAAAAAAAATATTTTAAAAATTAATTAAAATTGCCCCGATTCCATACTGCGAAACTAGCCCTGTTCATTCGATATGTGGCAGGGGCCAAATAAGCCAAGCCAAATAATCTGATACCCAACCATTTTTAATCGCACTTTTTCGCATGGGTGATGATGATGATCGCAGCCTACCGTGTGCGCCTCTGCTCGTCCGCCTGCTTGCTGGCCGCACAACGGAATTATTAATTAAGATTTTCTGTTTAATTTACGCTGAGGTGTATTTACAAATCAGCATCAGCGAGTAAGCGAGTGACGGCGGCATTGCTGCTGATCTCTGCCCAGTTGCTGTTGAAAATTAAATTTTGTTTTCAAATGAAAAAAGTGTAGACAAACTACGCGGAAACTTGAGCACTCGAATGATTAATCGAATTATTTTACGGCGTGTTCTATGAAGGTGATCCATGATCACTTAGCCTCTTTGTTGTTGTTGGAGGCGCGCTTAGTTTTTCAACTTATGTATGTATAAACGATGCCACGGCTGTTGGCAGGGCAATCAGCTGCCAATCAGTGTTTGACCTTTTGATGAGATGTTTACTATTTGGCTGAAGAGGGTACATACTTGGAACTGGTTAATTGATAACTGCGCTCATTCGTACATATGTATGTAGGTGTAGTGGTTAGTCGAGCATAACAAACGATTGCGGGTGGTGATGCCTTCGTTTCGATGTGGAAGGAAAAATTGTTCGTAGCAAAGTTAGCTGAATGAAATCTCGCATTTCTAGCCATCCGTTATTGCAATTTATTGTTTCGTGCTTCCGTTTCTTGGTTTCTATTCAAATAAATAAATGCACTTTGGATTGTCTTCTTCGTACATATCATTGCGATCTTTGGATTGAATTACTACATTACGAACAAAAAGAAAAGTATTCTTTACTGTTATTCTGGTTTATAGAGAGAGAGCGCAAAAAAAAAAGCCCTTCAATTACTTTCCACTTCACGGCTTTCTGCTTGTTCATTCATCTCTTCGCTATTCATTATTCTCCTCTTTTCTTTTCTGCACGCTGGCACGCTTGGGGCTCATAAATTGTTTTGCATGCCAATGCCACCCATATTTTGTTGTGCTTCGCTCGAGAAACTAATAAATTTACAAAAGAATGAAATCGATAATCAAAAAGCGTAACGAACCACAAACGACGAATTGTCCAGAAGCCAAGCTGACAGTTGAATGGAAAATATAACAGAACCAAGACACGTTTTATGTGTTTAGTGAATGTCCAAGCTCGCCCAGAATAGCATATCCCGAGCGCTTTGAGGCTATTAGGGTGTTCTTACGGCATTAAGATCAATCTTTCGGCATTCTTTGTGCTACATAAATAAATCTAACTCGGAGCTGGAAAACAAATTTAGAGTAGATCATACTTAAAAAATTTCAGTTATATACAGTGAAGCATTACCAAATATTTTAAAATATCACTATTCCCTTGTAAGTCAGTCTGTAATAAGGGCATTATTATCCAAACTGATATAGTTAGAGATGGTAAGAAAAAGTTTTAGGGCTGAGAGAACATAAAACGTAGTAAAACTTTAGTTTCACATTGTTTGATTTGATGTTGAAGCGAAATATTTAAGTACCACGATGTAACAAATGCCTTTGTAACTTTCTTAGTGGATCGCGATCACTCTATAATTTTACGTACATACACATGTACATACGTGCCTCTTCTGACACCTCCCTCTTATTGTTTCTTACTTCTATTTGCACATTTGTCCACATTTTTCGGAGCACAGTAGGGGTATTCTCTGAGTCTTGCAAAGCCCTTGCAAGGTGCACGGATTGCACGGTTTGCAAAGCTGTCCCATACGAAAACCGATTTTTACCGTGCAATCCGTGCAATCTGTGCACCGTGCAAGGGCTTTGCAAGACTCAGAGAATACCCCTAGTTTGTTTGCGTTCTAGCAAACTTGTTTCGTGGCCCCAGCACGATCAGCGCTGAATTACACTTTCGTGCCGAAGATTTCCAACGTGTTTTGCATATGAAAAATGAAAATGGGCCATCAGTTGAGCAATGAGTAAATAGCATACTTTTGTATGCGCAGAATAATTTTCAATGTACGCAAAACCAATGCGGCCAATTCGCTGCTAAAGCAATACGACCGCTCTACAGCTACTGAGATCAACAAGCTGATCGAGTGGCAAGTGAGCCTCCAACGAGGTTATCTACTGTATGGAAATAGTATGCATAAGAATGTACATACATACATATTAGGGCTCGTAAAATTATCCGACTATTCGACTAATCGGTTAACCGATTATTCGATTCGTAACCGTTCGCATGCTTATTAGTCGGTTAATGGTATTCGAATAGTCGCCCGCCTTCGATTATTCGAATAGTTGCTTTGCTTCGACTACTCGAGCATTGTAGCAAATCGAATTTCAGCAACCGAACTTTCATTGAAATTTCTTTGACAAATGAAAAAAAATTTATTTAAATATATACATACATGCACACATATGTATGTATATTCAGATACAAAAAATGAGCGGACGCAAAAGGAGCTTGGTTTGGGATTTTTTCGCAAAAAACAGAGGACGAAAAGGAAGTAACATGTTCCATATGTGGTGCAGTTTTGTGCCACACCTCCTCTACATCCTCACTGAACAACCATTTAACAAAAATCCATAACAAAAATCGCGAAAATGAGAGGTAGGTATTGCTTTAGCCATTGTCTCTAAAATATTTCCCAATAACATTTCAATAATTAGCGCACATTCTTGCAAAAAAAGTTTGCCTTAATTTTGCACATGCCATCTTATATATGTACTACGAATGTAACAAGACTTTTCATATATGTATATGTATCTGTAAATGCAAAAAAAAAACTCGAACTTAAAATATTCGATTAACCGAAAATGAACGGTTAACCGAATAATCTAAAGTGAACGGTTATCCGAATAGTCAACAGCTTTCGACTACTCGAATATTGCTAACCGATTAACAGTAGTCGACTTCAGTCAGATTCGAATAATTCGGTTAATCGATTAACCGAATTGCCCGA